ATTTCAACTAGTCGAGTCATGTCTGGAATGAATGGAATCAAAAACAAATCAACATCGATAATATTTTTGCATGCAATGAAGCATTTGATAGAAATAAGTATCAGAAACTGCGGTACAAAAGATGTATTGAAAATGTGTAAAATGATGATTGGCAAATCATGGTAAAGGTCGTATAGGTAAAGGTTAATCTCTTATAGAGAAAGATTTAGACCAGTAGTCCATACACTTAAAAAGTGCAAAACTTGTGAGATATAAGTGGATCTTTATACGAAAGATGAATGAAAGTGATACATGAAAAAAATAGATTTTTTTGTGATGGATGCAACAATTTTACAGATCCTTTATCAGTCTAAGAATGAGAGAAAGATTTGATTTAGTCCTAAAAGGAAATCAAATTTTCAGAAGCAATTAGAAGGATTAATGATTTCAAAATGATGTTCTCAAGAGCACTGGCTATTTGATTGAATTAAAGCAAATATGCTTCATAAGTTATACTTTTAAAGTGGGTATTACAAGATAATCAATATACCCATGTGTATTTATCAAAAAACTATGGATTAATGGAATCTTTGGTTCGAACATAATCAAAACTCTTGAAGAGTTATTGGAAGTTGAAATTTGAAAGAAGTAACTTTGGAATGAGAACTTTGTCTTGATGTTCTCCAAATTGTAAAACTAAAGAAAAAGATGTTGTCTCAAAGATCCTTGTAGGATTTTACATATAAAATTATCATACATAGTTGGTCTTGAAATACCACACTTTAAATGATATTTGAGCAAGTTGTTGATCTCTTTCTTGGTTGAAAGATGTGCTTTGGTATGACAAGAAAGAAACCCAACATAATAGCTTTTACAAGAAGAACATGAATAACTCTTATGTAAAAATATGTACAATATTAATATCCAAAAGATTGTATTTGGCATAAAGTCCAAATAGAAGAAAAAAGTATATTTGGTGTGAAAAGGATATTATGGACCAGAAGTCTATTAAACTGAGAAAGTTTGATAAGCATATGAGTGTATTAACTAAGCTAATGCTTATATTAATTCCCTAAAGATGATATATGGTTGGTATGCATATCCTATCGGAAATGCTTCCAAGGGAAGAATTATGATGGTATGTGTGGCTGTACTTTTTTTTATTTATCATGGTTTTTATTCCATTGGATTTTTCCATGACAAGATTTTAACGAGGCAGTAAAAATCATGTAAGTGATAAACACCCAAGGAGAATATAAATATGAAAGTCTATCCAAATTCGAAAGATTATTGAGATCATCATAATCAAAGAGATTTTTTAAATAGTGGAATACCTTAAGAAAAAATTTGAGATGAAAGATCTCTGGAAAACAAAATGTTGCTTGGGATTGCAAATTGAGCATCTAAAGGATGGAATCCTAGTGCATCAAACGACATATACAGAAAATGTGCTTAAAAGATTTTATATGGATGATGCACATCCTTGAGTAGCCCTATGGTTGTAAGATTACTTGATGTGTTAAAGGACTCCTTTTGTCCTCGAGAAGACAATGAAGAAGTACTTTGTCCTGAAGTACCATATTTAAGTGTAATAGGGGCATTGATGTAACTTGCTAGTTATACGAGATCTGACATATCCTTTGCAGCAAATTTATTGGTAAGGTTTAGCTCATGCCCAACTCGAAGGCACTGGAATGAGATTAAACATATATTTCTTTACCTTAAAGGAATAAAAGATTTGAGTTTATTCTTTTCTAACCTATCAAAGGAAAACTTGATTGGTTTTGCAGATGCTGGATACTTGTCTGATCCTTATAATGCTCTATCACAGATAGGGTATATATTCACATGTGGTGGTATAGCCATTTTGGCGTTCTATAAAGCAAACCATTGCAGCCACATCTTCTAATCATGCAGAGATTTTAGCTATTCATGAAGCTAGTTATGAGTGTGTATGGCTGAGATCTGTCATTCAACATATACAAAAATATTGTAGTTTATCAAAAGAGAAAGAAGCTCCAACAATTATGTATGAAGACAATGCTGCTTGCATTGCTCAAGTTAAGGAATGATACATCAAAGGAGATAGAACAAAGCACATTCTTCTTTACATATGACTTGCAGAAGAATTGCGATCTTCGTGTTCTATAGATCATTTCAAGCGATTTATTTACCAAGGCACTTCTAATGCTACTTTCAAGAAGTTGCTTCAACTTATTGGATTACGACGTCTCAAAGATCTAGACCGATGTACACATGAGGGGACTAAATGCTCACTGCATTCTTTTTCCATTAACTCTGGTTTTTCTCACAGGTCTTTTCTAGCAAGGTTTATAATGAGGCAGTATCTTACGCGCTTTACTACAATATCGTTATAAGGGTCATCAAGGAGAGTGTTATGAATTATTAATATGGATGTCCATTATAAGACCCATATTCATAAGGAGGTTAAAACTATTGTTAAAAGTCCCACATCAGTAATATGTGAGCATAACTAGGTCTTTGTAATACTATATACATCTCTTATTATTCATGAAATAAGACACAATAATTTCCTCTCTCTCTCTTTCTTATTCACAACACATTTTATTTAAATTTCATTAGTTTTTTTTGTGGGAAAGACATATTTTCCTCTAGAAATTATTATATTGGTGCAGATCCACACGAAATTTCGAAATCAGCATACATCCTCTTTGAATAAAAGTTCCAAACGTAATTCCCCCCGGTTTAAAAGTTTGAAACTTATTTCCCCATAGTAGTCAGTTTTAGTGGTTTGAGAGCTAAACCCGATATGAAACCCCTGAAACTGCTTACGCCGGTTACCATACCAAAATTAAAACTGATACAAAAAGAATTCCAACTCCTAAAAACCCAACCCAGTAGCGATTTCAAATTCATAAATCCCCAAATCTGGTTCACGAACCATAGATTTTTTTCACCTAATTCCTATCTGATTTGACAAAGTGATTGTTTTGACAAACTGACTGTAGATTTGTATAAACAATAGATTTCCTAATCTTATTTCGATCCTACAAATCTCAATTTCATAGATTATCAGCTTTAAGAACTCTTTTCTGATGGATTGATGTATTTTTATGGTTGTAGGTTGAAATTTGAGTCTGATGATGAATAATGCACCTGGAGCTTCAAGTGGAACATCAGTTGGTCGTGGAAGAAGATGATTTTGTGGGTGCGCCGAAGAGATGTTGGAGTGGGAAATCAATTGTTGCCAACATATCAAAGTCCGATGAGAATCTGTACCGGAAATACTTCTGGTGTGCTTTTTCTGTAAAACAAAAAATCTGTTTTTGCCATTTTTGTATCTGTCATTATTAATATCAATTTGTTGACTTTTATTTTGATTGTCATATTGTGAAATTATTGCAGCTAATCAATGATAACCACATTTTCAAGTGGGTTGATGAGGTTTTGTTGAATGAGTTACAGGCATTAGCAGTTAGAACTGAAAGATTTGAACTATAAATTATGATGGAAAATATGTCGTTTTCAGCTTTTTTACCATTTTTTGGTTTTTTAATGTTTATTTTTTTTATCTCTTTTTACAGCCAAATGACAAAAATACTCTAATCTTTCCATGTACACTTCAACAAACTTACATGTCGTATTCTATAAGGGAAAATTTTCATATACAGTACAGAAAATGCTACTTTCTAATAACACTTTCGAAAAATTCTAAAAAAAATGAACAAAGCTTAAATAAAGTGTCTAATTTTGCAAAGCTCTCTCTTGTTTTAATTGCAACAAAAAAGTACGTTTTTTACTAATACAAACCTCTCTTTACAAATGCTTACTAAATAATTGTTTATTCAGTAAATTAACCTCAGTCAATATTCTATATTAACAAATTTAAAATAGAATTAGAGGTTTCTTTCGTAAAATTTCTAACGCTATAACAGAATGTGGACTACGACTTTTTTTTTTAAGAAACCAACTCAACACTAAATCAGTCCTCTTACAATTGAGTATAATATGTGTCATGGAAGCTCTTTCTCAAATTATATGCTATGCAGCGAGGGAACCATTTTTTATCTGCATACGAGATGTACTGACTCTCTAACAATTTGCATATGGTTTCTTGTATTCTGCAAAGAAACCCTACGGTCATTGCAAGGCATTGTTAAGATTTTAAATCAGTTGGACTCAGTCTTAATGCAAAATTCTAAGTTATTTGTGGCATATGACTGCATCGAGATATGATGCTATTTTCAAATTTTGGATCAACAGGGTTCAGGGGTGGCTTGGACTTACTACCAAAAAAAAAAAAAAGTAAAAGTGTTTTAATGGAATATTAAACCGTTGCAATGTTGCTCTTGGAATATACGTAAACTTTTGAATTTGTGAGAGGCGACATACCGGTTTTGTGATTAGGATGTCGTATGTTTTGTATATAAGTCAATTTAGCTCCTGTAATTAGGGCATCGATTCTAATTTAGATGTCGTATATTTTGTAGATAAGTCGGTTTAATTCATGTCATTTGAGCATTGATTCTACAATATATGAAAAGAGGTTATCCCTCTCCATCTATCTGCCATGTCAGCATGGATGACACGTGGCGATACAAAAAAACCCATTCAATTCTTGTCGTCTCCTCTCCCTCTTCTCACTAGGCCTATTTCTCACATACATTTGGAGATTAAACAGACCCAACTCATCGTCTCCTCTTCCTCTTCTCACATACGTTTGGAGATTAAACTGACCAAACTCATGTCTCCTCTTCCTCTTCTATGACAGTTGACGAGTATAAATAATTATAAGCTTCTCTTCTGAATCACCCAATCTGAATCTTAAACCTGAGAACCATGGCGGCTTCTAAAATCTCTAATACTTCTCCATCAATCTTAATGGAAGGTCACCTAACTAATCTCTAATTGGTAATTATTCACAACACACTCTCATTTATCCTGTTAGATTTTCCGATTTCAATTCTTATCCTACAATTTTTTGCAACTGTGAAATTCTGTTTGCGATTGTTAATTATTGGCCTTATGATTGCACCTGAAGCTCTGTTGTGATTCACTCTTTTGGTCTCACAGGTTTGTTTTTTTTCTTTTGACAACTTGTTTTCTTAAACACTCATTCTCATTTATCTCATTTTTCATACATTCTTCTTACTTCCTTTTACATTCATCTTTTCTCATATATATGAGTTCTACGCCAACTTCTACTCTCTCTCTCTCTCTCTTGCCTATACTTCCATCATTACTCTAATCTTAGACAATCTTACACAAGCCACTCTACTTACTTAGACTCTGACTACTCTTCTTGAGACCTTAACTACTGTTACTTAGTTGTTACAACAACTCTAACTATTACAGCTTAGACTAGCTTATCTAGACTCTTAACCAAACTAACTTATTCTTTTGGGCTAACACAAGTAATCGTAGGCCCATTAAAACCAAGAGACACTTAAGCCCAATTCCTTTCTTCTTGCATTGACTTTCTTCCTTGTTGACTCCTCTTCATCTTCTTCTTTCTTCCTTCTACGAACCACCCTCCTTTTCTTCTTTGATTTCTCTTTCAATTGCTGATTAACAGCTAATGATCCTTGTCTTCTTTTTTTTTTGCAGGAACACTCAAAGGATCATTATTCAACACTCCCTCTTGAGCCTTTGAGTTGTTCCCTTGATTCCAACTTAGGGTTTTGAATTTCAATACCCTTGGTTCTTCTTTCTTCATTACCTTGCTCTTCAGAACATCAGCATAGCTTCTGGGTAAGCTTGATTTCTCAATTTCTTTCTCGTTCTGGAGTTTTCTGCCTTCAGTTTCTTCTTCTCTTTTCAACTTCGGTTCTCCCTCTTGAACCAATTTCCCGTCAAATCCAATTGATTTCTGATTCTCGTTTTTCTGCAGATGCTTAGCTGAGGAGTCTCTACTCCCTCCATTCTTCTGAATTTCACAATCGGGTACTTTCTTTACCTCTTCTTTGTTTGAACTTTGCAACTTTTGCTTCTCCTTCTCATTTGTCTTCTTCTTGTCAGATGATTTCGGATTCTGATGACTGAATCCAATGCTTTGAACTCCTCTTGCACTTCTGCCAATTATCCCGTCGATCAGCTTCTTCTCCATCTCTTTCAAAGATAAGTTTCCTTTTGTTGATTTGTATCACTCTTGATTACCATCTTAGTAAATCTGGTCTCTTGAACAACCTCCTTGGTTTTTTTAATCTCCATTTCTCTTTTGTTGAACTCAGTCTTCCTCTGATTCTCAACATTGATCATCGGCTTCTTCTCCTTTCTTGTTGCAGACTTCTCTTCAGGTTTCCATTGCAGTGGCATCGTTGAGCTTGAGGCTTCAGCATACCCTGCTCCATGACAACTTGATTCAGCCTCTTCTTTTGATGCTGCCTTTGCTATTCCTTCACTCAAGGGCATGTGAAGGTGGAAGCTTTTCTTGGCCATTTCTACTTCAGCGATCTTTCTTCCAGCTTGATTGAGGATAATGCAGCTTCTGTGCTTGAAGGTAACCGCATATCCATTTTCAATCATCTGTGAGATACTTAAAAGATTTTTGGCAATCTCAGGGACTAGAAGAACATTTCTGATGATCCTTTTTCCTTTTGTAGTCATGACTTCTATGTCTCCTTTTCCTTTAGTCATTAATGCCGTTCCATCACCAATTTGGATTGGAACCCTGAAGTTTGCATCAAGTCTGGTGAAAAGCCTTTCATTCGGAGTCATGTGGTTTGTGCAGCCACTGTCGATGAGCCATGTGGTTTCTTCGAAGGGGCTTTCCATCTTCTTGTCTTGCAGAGAACATATGGTATTCTCCTTCTTCTTCATTTTTTTCTTCTTGAGTTGCTTGTGCTTGTTCAGACCATCTGTTTCTGCAATCTTTTGATATGTGACCTTGTTTGCCGCAGGTGAAGCAGCTCCTTGTATCTCTGCTTCGTTTAAACTCAGGTCTGCCTCTTCCATTCTTGAAATAACACACTTCTTCATTGTTTGTATCTCTTTTACAAAATCCACACCATCTCTTTTCTCTGTAGTTATTCTGACTTGTGCTGTTTCTGTCATTGTTCTCCATTTTCAGGTTCTTAACCCGAGCATGGAAGGCTCCTTCAGCGTTTTCTTCATCTTCATCTGGGAAAAACTTTTTCTCATGAGCTTCTAGAGAGCCTATCAGCTCTGCATAGGTAACAGTATTGAGATCTCATTAGAGAAGCTAGACCTGCATAACGTTTAGGCATTGAAGCTAACATCTTAACCACCAAGTCAAAGTTTGATCTTTCTCCTCCTAGAGCCCTCATTTGATTCGCTATAGCTTGTATCCTATCTGAATAAGTCTTAACCTTCTCTCCTTCTTTCATTTTCAGGTTTTCAAACTCTCTTCTTAAGGATTGTAACCTAACCATTTTAACTTTCTCATTACCTTGGTAGGAATGTTCAAGCAGATCCGAAGCTTCTTTTGCGGTAGTTGCAGAGAGGATCTTGTCAAAGATGGTGTCGGCTACAGCATATTGGATGATTTGGAGTGCAGCTGTATCTTTGGTTTTGAGTGCCTTCAGGTTTGTAACTTCTTTAGACTTGTCTGCTCCAGGTGTTTCAGGTGATTTTAATGAAGGGTCTGGAAGTCCTTCATTGACGATCTCCCATAGCTCCTTGTGCATCAGAGTCGTCCGCATCCTTGCTGCCCAGAACTCATAGTTCTGTCCATCAAAAACAGCTACTGACTGAGATGACTGCAGGTTTATCGACATCTTTGCTCCTCTCTTTCTCTTCTCCTTTTTGATTTCTTCTTCTTAAGTTTTTTTTCAACAGGCTCCAAGGACAACTAGAGCTCTGATACCATGTTGTGATTCACTCTTTTGGTCTCACAGGTTTGGTTTTTTTCTTTTGACAACTTGTTTTCTTAAACACTCATTCTCATTTATCTCATTTTTCATACATTCTTCTTACTTCCTTTTACATTCATCTTTTCTCATATATATGAGTTCTACGCCAACTTCTACTCTCTCTCTCTGTTGCCCATACTTCCATCATTACTCTAATCTTAGACAATCTTACACAAGCCACTCTACTTACTTAGACTCTGACTACTCTTCTTGAGACCTTAACTACTGTTACTTAGTTGTTACAACAACTCTAACTATTACAGCTTAGACTAGCTTATCTAGACTCTTAACCAAACTAACTTATTCTTTTGGGCTAACACAAGTAATCGTAGGCCCATTAAAACCAAGAAACATTTAAGCCCAATTCCTTTCTTCTTGCATTGACTTTCTTCCTTGTTGACTCCTCTTCATCTTCTTCTTTCTTCCTTCTACGAACCACCCTCCTTTTCTTCTTTGATTTCTCTTTCAATTGCTGATTAACAGCTAATGATCCGTGTCTTCTTTTCTTTTGCAGGAACACTCAAAGGATCATTATTCAACAAGCTCCGGTCGAAATCACTTTGTCTTTGACCGAAGAAAACACGATCACAGACGACTAAAACGGTCAAGCCGTGGCTGTAGGACTGAAGGGTCATTCTCATCCATTCTCCATATGCTCGGGGTCTGGAAAGATCCAGAGAAGTCAACATCAATCTCTGCAATGGGGACAGGAAAAAGCGACGGCGTATAACAAACGCCGCTTGTCCCAGGGAATACCATTTTTTGGCACGACCATTGTGTAGAGCTCCAGGAACATTACCAACAAAAGTTCAAACTGCAAAAAAGGTATGATGCAAAGTTCATCGTGATTATCAACAAAACTTTGTCAATATTAGGTGTTAATAGACATTCTTCAAAGATAAAACAAAAAGACGAAAGAACAAAAGATATTTCAAAGCAAAGATTTTTCTTCTCTTTTTGTGTTAATTCTTATAATTTACTTCAAACCAAGTCACTTATATTAACCGGAGGTAACTCTTCCTATTTACCTCTCTTTGATGCAAAAGTCTGGTTCTCGTCTATTCTTAATACGTATTTCTAACATCTTCCATGTGTATTGACTGAGAAGGAAAACGTGACTGAACACTGCACTAAGGACTAGCTTGATGGAATAAAGTACCAAAGCACACACTTATGAGGTCATTTTTTTGTTTTGCTTCTCATCGTGTCTTTATTTTATTGTCTTTGGTCTTCTTCTGCTTTAAAAGCTAGGTTAATGGAATATAAATACAAACCTCTATGCAAATTGTTCACTAACCTGGGGTTTATTGTGGTAATTACAAATTCACAAGTGCATTTCGGTAGTCTCTATTTTATCCATATAAATGAATGTGAATTACAATCTCCCTGGGAAAAGAAGGACGATGATCCACTGATCTAGAAAGGGAGATCTATAATGAGTATTTTATGCTAGAGGATTAACTGATCTTAGCTGGCTAATACTGATTAGGTTAGGCTTTCAGCATGTATTCCTTCTTATACCTGTATAATTATGAATTATGAATAAGACAAGCTACTTTGAAGTGAAAAGGGTTTTGTGAAACAAAATGCAATGAGAATGATATCAATACGTTTCTTTCTCAGCTAACTTGATGGTAAAATTAACTGACCACATCTCTCAAGTTAGTTCATTATTCTGTAGGGCTTAATCTTAGCATGAGTATGAGACCTGTGCTAACACAATCTCTTTGTAACTTAACTCTTATGAATAGCATCTGTAATCTGAAAACATTAACTTGTTGATAAACAATTCACGAAGATTTGGGCTTCCAGAAAGAGATTAACGGCACCAACGTTGAGAGTGTGAGAGGACAAAGCTATGTTTTTGAAGAGCGTCTGATGAAATTGGTTCACACTACGCGTACCAATACCACATTCGGAGAAGTGAGGATTTCGCCAATTGGTGAAGAATTATCGTTGCTGGTAAGCCCATTCACTTCATCTGTATTCTTATAATAATTCTTATTATATGCAATCGAATTAAACTCATATCGACAAACCAGAATGCAATAGAAAACATTTCATTAATAGTATGTATCTTCCATGAATTTTTTAAAAATCTTGGCAATACTCTACGAGCTTCTCGACTGTTTAATGCAGAAATTCTTTTGACCTTATACGAACCAAAGTGAATGATGTTCTATGCACAAATTTCAGTTTAGAGGCATGACTTATATTGGCATTTCAGTTGAAATTTTTCTGCTAAGTAAAGGGAGTTCTTTCATTTCATGTTTTGTTGACATTTGTGAGAACGTGGCTAGAGAGATCGGCAATCACATATCACTTCAGCACCCTAATATCATTCAGTTTAAGGAGGCAAGTGTTTTTTCCTGTCACTTTAATATTGCTCAAGATCTTCTTTGTGAAAAGGCATTATTTTGTTCCAAATTACTGTGAACCTACTCATCCTGCTACTGTGATGGTATGCTGCAGGAGAACTTTTTGATGAAATCTGCACTGCCAGCAGATACAATGAAACTGAGGTGATATTCGATTTATAATCTAACTCTCTGATTTATCTGTTGCTCGACATTTTTGATGATCTTGATCTGTTTAGTTTTCATCCTCAATAGCTGCTTTGCCGTGTGCCGCCTACTGCCATTTCTTTGTATATTCCAACATTCATTTTGCTAGGAAAGATAGTGAGCCATTAGTGAAGAATAATCGATGTTTTTTTTATAGATATTTTACTATAGTTGGAATTTAGAGTTATAATAATTGATTTCAATGAATTGTCACGTGTACGTTGTCTAGATCTTTTCACATGGGTCTAAACATCATTCAATTCTTAAGCTCTTGAAATTGCATCGTCACTTCTGAACTTCTGACATTGTTTATCTGCAGCAAAAATGTGGTGTTACTGCCGGCTGGTTCACATGCCTATGTCTTATATTTGTGGGAAGACATTTAGTTTGTCTAATAATTCCTCTTATTCTGAAACCACGGGAAGAAATAGTCTTTCAGCCTTATGCGAAAATAAACCGAAATAGAGGAGGCCATCTATGTGCTAAGGTAGGATCGATCATTGTCTGTCCCTTAAATAAAGGTTTTAGGAAGAGAAATTTCACATAAAACTTTTGATAGAGAAACGTGATTTCATTATGACTTCCTCTGGGAAGAGCTTGTCTCTTTGTTTCTCTGTTCAGTCTTATATCTCAATAATGTTTGCTCTATTCCATCTATATCTAAGCTCTGTGATTTTTAACTCCATCAACTTTCCCCATCCACAGATTCAAGATACCTACTGTCCCCATCCACAGATTCAAGATATTATATGGGACTGCCTTTACTCACTGAGCCGTTTCATACATACTGGCCATTTAACTGTTACGAGAAAAACTGTAAACGTCGGATAAAACAAAGGAAAAGGGATATTGTATTCCAATGATTAAACGAGTTCACAAAGGTTGAGAGAATTAATACGGAGTCTCTCACCTCCTCTTACACTTTTAATCAAATTACTCGATGAAGTAAATCCTAACAGAATCCCTCCCTAAATAGCAAAAGCAAATAACGATAGGTAGCAAGAGCACGTGATGTGTTTCCTGACGTAGCTCGTACTATGAGCGATCTCCTCCTGGTGACTTCTAGAAGAAAGGCCGAACGAAAGAAGGCCGAGACTCTCTCAGGCCCGTTGGGTTTTCCCTTTCCTCTGATACTGGTAAATTATAGGAGGGTGGGTTGACTCATATGTAACATTACCCGGCGGTTCGAAATTGACCTTGTCTTCAAGGTCGAAGTGTGGATACTGCCTCTGGATGCTCTGCTTCCACTCCCATGAGCTATCATGTTCAGGCAAGTTTTTCCATTTCACCAGCACTTCAGCTTGACCCGTGATGGCATTGACGCGAGTACCACCTATCTTCTCGGGCTCGACCACCATTTCCCCTTTTGCAGTCAACTGTGGTGGGATCGAGACGGGTACCACCGTGTCCCCTTGAGTCAGTTTGAGTTGGGACAATGGAATGTCGGGTGTATCTTCGCGTCAGGTGGAAGCTTCAGTCGATAAGCCACGACACCTATCCTTGCTTCCACCTCGAACGGACCATAGAAACGAGCTGCCAACTTCTCATTAACTCGGCGAGCCAGGGATCACTGACGATAGGGCCGCATCTTCAAGAAAACCTTATCTCCCACCGCAAACTCTACTTCACGTCGATGCTCATCGACCCGTCTTTTCATTACTTGCTGAGCTTTGTTGATGTGTTGCTGGAGGAGGGCGATTGTGGCATCCCTGTCCCTCAGGCGAGTCTCCAGATCAGCATTAGACGTAGACCCGTTCTCGTATTTGATCAGTGTGGGGGTTTCTCTACCATAAACCGCTTTGAACGGGGACATCTGTATCGCTGAATGGAACGAAGAGTTATAGCACAGCTCTGCCCAAGGTAGATAACGAGCCCACACGCGAGGCTTCTCACTCGCAAAACACCGTAACAATGTCTCAAGCCCTCGGTTCGTGACCTCTGTCTGCCCATCCGACTGGGGGTGGTACGCTGTACTGAAGCACAAGTTGGTACCCGCCAGTCGGAACAACTCCTTCCAAAAGCCACAAGTAAAGATCTGATCCCTGTCAGAGACAATCGTTTTTGGGAACCCGTGCAGCCGTACAATCTCCTGCACAAATACCAATGCGACCTCCACGGCAGTGAACAGATGGGTAAGCCCGATGAAGTGCGCGTACTTGGAGAGACGGTCAACGACGACTAACACTGCGTTAAGACCGTCCGACTTCGGAAGACCCTCCACAAAGTCCATCGACAGATCTTCCCAGAGAGCAGACGGGACTGGCAACGGCTGTAGCAACCCTCCTGGAGCTAACGTCGAGTATTTGTGCCTCTGACATGTGTTACAGGACGCCACGTACCTGCGAATGTCCGTCATCATTCCCAGCCAATAGAACAAATCCCCAATACGTTTCTGCGTTTTCAATACCCCTCCATGACCTCCACTCTTTCCATCGTGAAACTCCTGTAAGATTAGACCAACGATCCCCGACGTCTGTGGCAACACGAGCTTCCCCTAGCGTAACAGACGCCCTTGAACAATGGTATAGTCGGGATGGGTGGAAGCATCTTGCTTGAGCTCGGTGATCAGCTTCTGCAGCTCCTGATCACAGTTCACCTCCCGACATATCTCCTCAAGCTGTATTGCTTCTGGCACCGATAGAGCAAACAACTCCGACGCTATCTCGCGCCTTGACAATGCATCAGCCGCCTTATTTTCCAAACCTGGCTTGTATTGGATGTCGAAATCAAACCCGAGTATCTTTGTCAGCCACCTCTGGTACTCTAGGTTGAATTCGCGTTGTTCCAGTAAGAATTTCAAACTCTTTTGGTCTGTCCTAACCAGGAATTTGCGCCCGAGCAGGTAATGTCGCCATTTTTGAATGGCAAAAACGATTGCCATCAGCTCTCGTTCGTACACAGACTTCAACCGCTGTCTGTCCGTGAGAGCTTGGCTGTAGTAGGCGATTGGGCGTTGGTCTGCATCAATACCGCCCCCAATCCTACACCAGATGCATCCGACTCCACCACGAAGAGGGCAGTGAAATCTGGCAATGCGAGTACAGGGACGGTGGTCATCGCCTTCTTGAGTTGGCCAAACGCAATCTCAGCCTCATTTCCCCATCGAAACTGATCCTTGCGCAGCAACTCGGTTAGTGGTTTCGCGATAAGGCCGTATCCTTGGACGAATTTCCTGTAATATCCTGTCAGTCCCAGAAATCCCCGAAGCTCCTTCACATTCTTCGGGGTCGGCCAATCCACCATGGCTTTGATTTTGCTGTCATCCGCCGCCACCCCCTGAGCTGATATCACATGCCCCAGGTATTCAATCTCCTGACTCCCGAAGTGGCACTTCTTTCTGTTGGCGTAGAGCTTATGCTGCAGCCGTGTCTGAAGTGCCATTCGCAAGTGGCGTTCATGTTCTGCTTCCGACCGACTGTAGACAAGAATGTCGTCGAAAAACACCAAGATGAACTTGCGTAGGTACTGGCGGAAGATGTCGTTCATTAGCGACTGGAAGGTCGCGGGCGCGTTTGAAAGACCGAACGGCATGACGAGAAACTCGTAGTGGCCGTCGTGGGTCCTAAACGCTGTCTTTTGAACGTCTTCGGCTTTTACCAGGATCTGATGGTACCCGGATTTTAGATCGAGCTTCGAAAATATCACTGCTCCCTGCAACTCATCTAGCAGTTGATCGATCATGGGGATAGGGTAATTATCGAGCACCGTCGTCTTGTTCAAAGCGCGATAATCGACGCAAAACCTCCAGCTTCCATCCTTTTTCTTAACGAGAAGGAATGGACTCGAGAAGGGGCTTCCACTGTCCCTGATGATACCCGCCGCGAGCATTGACGCTACCTGCCGCTCAATCTCCTCCTTCTGAACGTGCGGATAACGGAATGGTCGAACGCTTACAGGTCTCGCGCCGGGCTCGAGGGTGATCGAGTGCTCCTTCCCTCTCGATGGTGGAAGACCCTGTGGCTCCGCAAACACCTGTGGAAACTCCTCGACAATGCGGGCAAATCTCGGAGTTACCTCTTTGGTCGCCTCCTGAGCCTGAAGCCCGCTATACTCAACGATCATACCCTCGCCCTGTTGCTCCAGAGCCCTCCACAACGCCTTCAGAGAGACTGGGGAACAACAGAGACTTGGGTCTCCTTGCAACTTCACTTTCTGACCTCCGCTCCTGAACCTCATCACCTGTAATTTCCAGTTTACCTTGGTGTCGCCGATGGTCTCCAGCCACTGACACCCGAGGATTACATCCGCCGTTCCCAACTCAAGTGGAAGAAAACTGGAAATCAGTGAGAAGCCATGCATCAACAGCTCGACATTATGACATACACCCCTCCCTTGTACGGTGATGCCTGTCCCCGTGATAACTCCGAATCCCCTGGTCCTCTCCTCTTTCAGACCCAGTCGGCGAACCACTCCCTCCGAAATGAAATTGTGAGTCGCGCCGCTGTCTATTAACACAACCATCCTCTCCCCTTTGATAGATCCGATGAGCTTGATGGTGCGTGGGGTAGATAGACCCACCATCGAGCTCAGGGACAACTCCACCACTTTTGCCACCTCCTGGGTACACTCGCCTTCCGTACCCATCTCGTCTTCCACCCATTCTCCTTCACTCCCGTCTTCGTGCACGATTAACAGTGTGAGCTCCCTATTTGGGCACTGATGTCGTGCGTAGAACTTCTCATCACACCTGAAACATAGTCCTTCCGCCTTCCATTTTGCTATCTCCGCTGGCGTTAATCTTTGGAACGGCGGTTTCAGGCGATTGTGACTGAGAGGGCTCCGTCCTTCGGTGTTTCGAGCAGGGTTAAGCTGTTTCTCGTTTGTTGGGCCGGATCTGAACTTAGAGTATCCAGACCCCGCACCCAGTTGGGCTTGATGATTCACCAGTTGGGCCGATCCTCGAGTTGGGCCCCCCTTGAAACTCCGATTCTTCTCCGAGAAGACAACCTCCGTCGGCGCCTCGACCGCCTCCGACCACTCCTCCACTGTCTTAGCCACGCTCATCATTTCTTTTGGGCCCCGCGGCTCTAGCATCTTCAATCCCGCGCGAATCTTAGGTTTCAGACCGATTTTGAAGGCCATTTCCAACACCGCCTCCGATAACTCCAGTGCGTTTGAGGCTAACGCGATGAACTCACGGCAGTACTCCTTCACCGTAGTCTCCTGTTTCAGCGTCAGTAGTCGCTCTCCGGCGCTCGTGTCATGCTCCGAGGAAAACTGCTCCAGAACTCGATACTTCATCTGCTCTCAGCTCTGGAACGGGTTCCTCTGCCTCTCCCACCGGTACCACATGAGTGCTTCATCAACGTAACTTATCCGGACCGCTTTCAGTTTTTCCTCCTCCGTAAGGTTCTCCAACTCGAAATATTGTTCCACTCGCATCACCCACTGCTCCGCGCTACTCCCGTCAAACAGGGGAACCTCGATCCTGCGCGTTAGTGGTCCGTTCCCTTGCTCCGGCGGTTTCCACGCGTGTGGTGGGAAACTCTGCATCTCCGCTTCCCTCTCCATTTCCTCCACGAGGATCGGCTCTACCCGCGACGGCGGATCCCTTCCCTTCTCCTCCCGGGACCCTTCACCGCGAATAGAGTCGACTCGTGAGGTTCCAATCTGACTCGAGAGCTGCTCCGAAACCATCGTCATCCCTTCCGATCGTTTCTTTGCCTCCGCTTCCTCGATCAGCCGCTGCTCGAGCCTCTCCAACACGCTCAGCTTGCTCATCTGTTTCTTCATCTCCTCCAAGCTGCGCTCCTGATCTGCGATCTTTCCCACATCTCGTTGCAGACCTTCCACCGCCTTCTCGACATCCGATTTCTTTGGTGGCATGTTTTCCCGTCACGTTAATGGCTCTGATACCAAGTTTGTTACGAGAAAAACTGTAAACGTCGGATAAAACAAAGGAAAAGGGATATTGTATTCCAATG